CCTAGACGATTCTTGTTATACAAAAGTATTTACCTAGAAAAATACGATATTCCTCGTCGATATAGAGAAAACTTTACTTTACACTTTGACGACGAGCACAAGTGGCCGTCTGGAGAATGGAATGGAAGACCAAGGTAGCCAAGATAAATTTTAGCAAAAACAAAAGGGTAAGTGAAGTAGAGTTGCTCATCTTTTTCTAAAGCATATGGCAGTATGAACTACGAAGTAAGTTCTTCACTGAAATATTTTAATAAGCTCAACACAAAATTAAGAAACGTACAAATATCCTATTATTGTGATTTTCTTTTTGGAGAAGTTTAAAATTTGAGCCTTTTCGTGTGAAATTTAAACTGTGTTTTCAATATTCCAGAAATTATATTTTTTTGGTATTTTTTTTACTGAAATACCTTGAAGAATTTGGAAATAAACATATGCATGGTATATGACTGTTGCTTTTACTCAATGTCTGAAGAAATATTTATGGACGATATTGTCTGGATCCAACTCATCCGTATTCCACATCTAATAGTATTTGTAACTGAGACAAATCGGTATTCATATTTGTTTCTGACAAATGTTCGTATCACATTGACTCTGATTCTAAAAAACGTATATATAAACAAATATAATGTAAGCAATATCCATCCGGATCCTATCCAAATCACCGAGGCAATGGCCATAGGCGTGCCCTTGATCGAGTCTACAGACTACAAGCTACGTTGCAGCACAAATGACTGTGGTCCTCAGGGGCCCCACGACCCAGCGTACGTTGACGGTAGAGGGATTTAGACGACGACAAAGTCTTCTTTGCCTGGCCGACGATGGCAACACCTTCCAGCATCGTTTTCTTCTTTGGAAGCGTATGTCGTGGCTTCTTCCTATGTCCATGGATCTTCCGGTTCCAGATAAAACCCAAGTCCTTAGGACTTCCGGCCTCCGGTAAAAAACCAAACGAATCGTCCATTTGCAGCCATCATTTTCTCCCTGGTCCATACATGCAAGTGATCGATGCAACTGCTGCAGGGCCGCCCGAGGCCTCTAAAATTCGCTGCTAGGCTTCACACCATGCTGCTCGCGTCAGATTATTCCTCCACTGATCAAGCGCTAGCTTAACGTTCTCGATCAATGGTCTCACAAAAGGATGGCCATGATGATGCTGTCTTTCGTTTTATACTTCACGACGAATAATAAGCTTTTGGCCTTATCCATATCCACTTCATTTTCTTAACTTGCAACTAGCAACGCGCAATAGATCGTCACTAACTTCATTTTTGAAGATATTTTGTTTCACCTTTTTTGGATTGCCTCCATTAGATACACTTAGAGCTTATTATCAGAAATAGCTTTTTCTTTTGATAATCCTATTAACTAAGAAAAGGAGCAATATTCTAAACTTTTCAATATTCTTAGGTACACTGTATAACAACTAGTGTCCTAAAATATCATGAGACATATAAGTATTAAAAGTTTGTAGATAGATTTATTACTATGATTAATCAAAATTGCTTATCTTTGTGTTATCTCTCTATACACATCTTTTTCTAACACGATACATACTGCATTTATGCTTTGTGATTTTTATTCGATCATGATAGATTTGCTAATTACTCTATACGAGGAAACATGTCTGTGCTTTGCTATGGACAAAAGCCATGTGGCTACATTTTATATTTAACCCATCAAACATCAATTAGTTAATTAGCACTTAATGGGGATGGTTATACCATTTATTAATTATTAACTAGCCAATCAACCTCTGCTCCATCACTGCCTAGAGTCTTATGGTACACAAGGATTAAAAAAATTAGTGAGTAAACTAGTGCATACATATAATCAGAATTGATTATCTTTAATCTCTTCGTATTCATTTTCTAACATAATACCATTTATATGCTCTATAATTTCTAAATTTCTATACGGATGTGATAAATATATCAACTACTTTATATCTATTTTCATAGTTGCATTGCACTTCTATGGGTTTTTAATATGCATTCAACTTAGATCTTTACTTAAGTTATATCATATCTTGTTGCATTCCGTGACTCATGAATTGATATTTTGACTTCCATATTTTGATATTATTAGTTGTCGTGTCAAGTTCAAAATCTAACACTTTATTTTTATATTTTATTAAAATTTTCATTTGCGTGTCGTTAAAAAGAACGGATTCTTGGTCCTAGATTCCACTCTTAGTTTCTACAATGGCACAAACAATCACTTCTTCATGCACTACTGCGCTCAAGACGTTGAATTTCCTATATAAAAGAATTATATGTGCAATAGTGTTGTTATGTTAAAAAGTGCAGTGCCTACAATTAGATTAGCAGTATTGATATGTCAAAAATGTATAAGCTTATGTAAAGTAAAACCTTATAAAATTTATTGTTATAGAGTTAACATAATTTAAAATGATCTTTAGGATCACCCGTATGTGGTTTGTTATTAAGGTACTTGGTATACATAGTATATATATTTAATTTGAATTTATTGGTGGTATAATTGGGTAACTTAGAAACATATATAGTATATTTTATGTTTTTTTGATCTCTTCATAACAACACTAGCTTACATAGGTAATTTAGACGTATGAGGGATATTTTAGTTTGTGGGTTCAATGTAACAACAAATGTAAGTGATTTTTATGCAAATTAAAGGGGTTATTTTATATTATCTCGTAATGTCATAGGTAGACAATTTAAAATCAAGTTTAGGTTTGGCGGTTTAGATGTAATTTTAAGAGGTTATTCATGTTTCTTATATTGACAAAAGTAAGCATTTTTTAGAAAATAGAATGGATATTATTATTCTCTATGATGATTTGAGTCAGCCCAATTTTTGAATAGAAGTTTGAGTATTATGAGGATTTCTAATATTTGTTTTTTATAGCACATTTTATGAGGAAGTGGAGGTTATGTAAGGGTTTCCAATTGGTAATATTAAGATATGTTTGCCGGTTGTCATATTTTGCATTGCACACGTGTGCGTCTTTAATACGTATTTAGTTAAAACCTAAGCTTAAGCCAATTATAATTGTAATGAGAATCTATATTTTAGATTTCAACTTTGATCTTATTAGCCGTTGTGTTTTTTATCCACGTGTTAAGTTTATAGTGCCTGTAGTATTTTGGTACGGACTTCTCTCTAATATTTCAACTAAATACATATTTAAAAACCCACACAGTTACACATATAGCATAATTGATAAATGTATGATAGCTGGATAGAGATCATAGAGTACTCAAATGGCAGTAGTGTTATAAAATGATAGATAGAGTAAATACAATCAATTCTGATTAGTTGTATGTACTAAATTTATATAGAATTTTTAATACTTATCTAGCTCAGATTTTGAACCATGCTAGAACAAGGGTTGATGGAGTAGTTATTGTCATTGATGATTAGTCAACGAAATTGATGGTGGGATGTTCTTGTTTTTGAATTTGTATATGATTTATCAATGTAGTGTTTTTGTGGTGATTGATGTGGAGCTCCGTTGTGAATGTATCTTAATAAAGAAAATGAATAGTACAAGCAGCAGTGATATTAGTTTTTCTATATTAGTGTCCTAACGCACGAAACTCCATCCAAACATACCTTTTGTAAATTTATTTGGCCCGACAATAACCATCAATTTTCTGAGACCACACTTTTCCCTATGCAATTTATCTAGAGTTTCATCCATCCTATTCAAACAAGCTCTGTCTACGTGCATATCCATGGGAGAGGCTCAATCAAATACATACTCGCCATGTTTTCCAAACACATGGTTTTCTCTATGCACGTAGATGTATATGCTATGCCTAGACATATAATAAAAACTATGTATTTAGAAAAGCCAAAATAGCTTGCAATTTGAAATCAAGAGAGTAGCATTCATCCGTGCACCGTGACAAGATCAACGGGAACCCCAAAATTAGCAGGCTACAATGGCGCAAGCCACTTCACATGTATTACGACTAGGTGCTAAGCCACAGTTCAAGCATTGATGTCATCTGACAACAATGAGTTTGGACAAATTAGCTTGTGAACACTGTTTGTGCAGGAGATGATCCTATGATTTTAGTAAGACTATTGTACAATGACATCAATGCCTCAATTTTTTGGATCCGCCCCTGATTACGATGCTTTGCACACGTACGTTGGCTTGAACGAACGCACGCAGACGCTCATGTGATTCGGTGATTGTGTCACTCCATCCATCCATCCCCGGGACATCACTCGATCTCATCTGCTTGGACGAACGCACGCAGACGCAGACGCAGTGGAGCGTGCACAAAAGACCTACGGTTGTGCGTTTTCTCTAGCGACGACGCCAACAGATCGATCAGTCTGCATGGCCGAAGTGTAGTGGAATCGCTAGGTGCACGTACCCGGGGATAAAGGATTCGCACAGCCTGGCGAAGCTAGACCGGACGATCTGGAGGCAGCGGCGGCAGATGGATAAGGAGGGCAGGCACTCCTGCAGCAGTATCCTGCCTTCCCTGTGGCCTGTGGGCCAGCGTCGTAGACGTGCAGCCCTAGTAATAATTGTGCCCTGGTAGGATGGCGGAAACGAGTGGCCGCATCCGCCCGCGGGCTCGCATCGCATCGCGTAGCTAGCGTGGTCCGCGCACGCCAGGCCGGGCCGGGGGTCGTCGCAACGCGCCACGGCCTTTAAATGCCTCTCCATCTCCCCCGCTCCACACCCACACCTCACCTCACGTCTCCTCACTCCACGCGCGCTCTCAGCGCACCTCGCTCCCCCACACCCACACCCTCTCGCTCGCCCTTTCCATTTTCGTCTGTCTGTCTCCCGAGTGCCCTGCGCCTCCCAAAGCTCTTGTTCCCTTGCTCCTCCTGCGCTGGTTAATCCGATCCCTTGGAATTCACAATCTCTCTCGCGCGCGGCCGCCTGATCGATCCACCGGTTCCGTCCGTCGATCCTAGCCAGCAGGGCGATCGCCTAGCTCGGTGGTTGTTGCACCGACCGAGGTCCCGCACGTGTGCTCTCGCCCGCCATGGTTCGCGGCGACGGCGAGCTGGAGCTGTCGGTGGGGGTCCGCGGCGCCGGCGGTGGCGGCGGCGCGGCTGCGGCGGACCACGTTGCGCCGATCAGCCTCCGCAGGCTCATCCTCGCCGGCATGGTCGCCGGCGGCGTGCAGTACGGCTGGGCGCTGCAGCTCTCCCTCCTGACGCCCTACGTGCAGGTATAGACGTCGTACCTACATATCCTTCGTCACCACCACCATCATGCGCATGCGTGTGCATGTACGAGATCAAATAAAAATAAATATATTATACGTACAGTTTTGCTTGTGAATGAATATTACATATACCACCGCGATCATGATGCGTGTTTTCAACCATTTTTTAAAACCTAATAAGGTCCAATACATATGTAATCTAGTAGTAGTTTGAATTTGAAAAAGGCATAGTAGCTTTTCGACGACCCGTAATGTAATGGATGTTTCAAGTTGTCTTTGTCTCGTCAAACTCACGGGGACAAAGTAGAGTAGTACGTTCGCCGAGAATAAGAATCGTCAGCACGTACATGTGTGTCCAAACTTAAAGCTGATAGCTACGTAGTACACTTTGTTTCATTCTACTTCATTGATGTGGGTGGTTTTGTTTAGATTATGTTGGGAGAGTGCAGCGCGATGGATCCTTCACGATTGGTCATGCATCTCCTTAGCCACAAATTAATTGTCCTCTGCCAAAAACTAAACCAAAATCCTGCTTCCCTTATTTCCTGCTCCACCACCCAATATATGTGTTTTGCCTATTTTTCCTCTACACCAGTTACTGCCACCAATACGTAGAGTCTGAACGTACCTCGAGCTCTGAAGAACAACACATTTTCGTTTGGTCATTTCTGTGGCTTATAAGTCGGTTGATGTTGTTTTGTTGGGAGAAAAAAACACTGTATCATAACTGATTGGATCAAGCGAACAGGGTTAGCCTCCTACTGGGAGCAGGAGTATTGTTCTGACGTGCCAGTGTATATGGCAGTATTAATACTCCTGTTGACTGCTGTACTTCATCTGACACCTCGTATGTGCCAGTAGCTAGGAGTACTCCTCACAGTCCCTATGAGGTGACCGAAGCAGAATAGCAGATAGCCTTCCCGAAAAGACGCAGGAAGGAAGACGGTGCCTGCCTGCATGGTCGGTCGGTGTCTCTCTCGTCAAATGAATTCTCTGTCCAGCCCAGAAGTTCCAGAAGCATACAACCCGTCCGGCGGCCGGATAAGGAAACCTGTCCACCATAGCCGACCATTGTCCCGCCGTCCAAAGCTCCAAAACAAAGACCACAAGTTATGTATGGCCCTCCCTAACAAACTGCAACCTTCCATACTTTCTTTGTTAACATAACAACAAGAAGAAGAATAAAAGCTCTAGGTCCATCATGTCGGATTTGAAATGTTTCAGGGCCAAGAACATAATAGAAAAGGATGTTCTAGAAAGCCGAACACATTTTTTTGCCATGTGAACAACCAAAAATGTGGATGAAGTTAAGTTATGTTTTACTTCAATCCAATTGCATAGAAAAGCGACAGTTTTTTTAGATCCTAATCTTTTAGCGGATAATAAACATGTTGTTATATGTGGTAAGGAATAAAACTCAACTACTGCCCCTGCACGCTGAACCATGCCTTCTATATATCCATGCCTTCCATATGGCAAACAAAATTTAAGTGTTCTACTAGAGCTTCCATTGATTGTCCGAAAACAAATTGTTTATTTACCGTCCACACAGAGAAAAAGGAAAACTTTCATTATTGCCCGAATAGAATATTTATATCCGTGCCTATTCGGCGAGCAACTTTGGATAAAGTTTATGCTGCCTGCCGTAGTGCATAGGGCATAGCCTTGTTGAGCCAAGTGCCATGGAGCCGGTTGGTGCATGTGCAAGCGTATCTGACAGGTTTGATCTGGCACGTTGCCTAACCGCACCCTGCAACCTGAATGGCCAGATTAAAAGAGAGAGGAACCTGCTTTAGTTTCAGTCCAGATATATTCCCTTTCCTCTCTATTTGTTTTTCATTAAAAAAAAAGAGATATGGTCCGGTCTCAAGTACCTCGACAAGTCAGCATGCACATGCACAGTCCAACTAATAAAATAGTGTTTCATGACAACATAACTGAACCGTGGAAGAAATAGAGTTTCAGAACTACTGGCTGATTTCTCTGAATAAACAGTTACAAGTACTACTTCCCTTTGCAGTGCTAAACAGACTGAATTAGTTGGTCTGAAGTTAAACTGTATGAATGAACTACTAGTTACATGCTCATCCTATTATGAACAGTTCATGTCTGATCAGTGATCACTGATGTCTGAATTTTACCTATATCTGTGCAGACTCTGGGGCTTTCACATGCCCTCACTTCATTCATGTGGCTATGCGGTCCTATTGCTGGCTTAGTGGTAAGCACGGGAACCAATCGGTTCTATTCTAATACAGCATCTGCACTTGCCGTTTTTTTTCACCAAAATTACTGTGGTACTTATCCATGGATTCCCTCCTTCTACCCTGCAGGTTCAACCGTTGGTTGGCCTGTACAGTGATAGGTCTACAGCAAGATGGGGAAGACGGAGGCCATTTATCCTGACAGGATGTATGCTCATCTGCCTTGCTGTGAGAACCTCTGAACCTTACACTCTCTCTTTTACTAAAAGTTGGAACTGCAGCTATAGTCACAGCTGTTCCCTGTTTTTTGTTCTTAACGTTCCCGATTAATGTTTTCCAGTTCACGCTGTGTAGGTCATTGTTGTTGGCTTTTCGTCAGACATCGGAGCTGCTCTAGGGGACACAAAGGAACATTGCAGGTAAACAAACTGCTTTGCTCTGGCGGCTACTGCTGCATAGTAGTATATCTTTACCTTTTGCTTTGTATCAGTATCATTAGCAACTGATCTGACACTTGATGTGCAATACAGTCTCTATCATGGTCCTCGCTGGCATGCTGCAATTGTATATGTTCTGGGGTTTTGGCTCCTTGACTTTTCCAACAATACTGTGCAAGTGAGTGCATTTCTATCAATAATTCAGATTAAGCAGTTTGGAAAGCACACTATTGTAAATCTGAGACATTTTCCATCCAACTGTTAGGGTCCAGCGCGTGCTATGATGGCTGATTTGTGCGGTAACTTTCTCGCTAATTCATTTCAGAGATTTTTTAACAGTTTGTTGATTAGCCAGTGCTAGTACTTGTGTGTGAAATAACACAATACGTGGACTTTGTGACCTGATTTGTAATTACTTTTCTTTGCTCAACAGGTCATCATGGGCCTAGTGCAGCTAACTCAATCTTCTGTTCTTGGATGGCGCTGGGAAACATCCTAGGCTATTCCTCTGGTTCCACAAACAATTGGCACAAGTAAGTCCACCACCACTCCTACATAAACTTTATCTGATTTTCTATTCTGAACATTGGTTTACTGAAAAATGTGCATTCTGAATTATTACTGATATCATCACATACAGGTGGTTTCCCTTCCTCAAAACAAATGCCTGTTGTGAGGCCTGTGCAAACCTGAAAGGTGCATTTCTGGTGGCTGTGGTAAGTTTTACCATTCCTTCAAAACATTCGTGCAATATTTTTCTTTTCCCATGCCGCAAATAGAGACACATTTTATGTCTTTCAACAGGTGTTCCTAGTCATATGCTTGGCTGTAACCCTGATCTTCGCCAAGGAAGTACCATACAGAGGAAACGAGAACCTCCCAACAAAAGCAAACGGCGAGGTTGAAGCTGAGCCTACCGGGCCACTTGCAGTGTTGAAGGGCTTCAAGAATTTGCCCCCCGGGATGCCGTCCGTGCTTCTCGTAACTGGTCTCACCTGGGTATGCCATTGCCATACAGAGCTATCTAGTCACTGGTTTCAGAGTGTTTTTGAATGGATCAAACGGCCATGGCAAACTCTGTACTGACGCTTGATCCATTGTCCTTGCAGCTCTCGTGGTTCCCGTTCATCCTCTACGACACCGACTGGATGGGCCGTGAAATCTACCACGGCGACCCAAAGGGCACCAATGCTCAGATCTCGGCGTTCAACGAAGGTGTCAGAGTAGGCGCATTCGGGCTGCTACTCAACTCGGTAAGTTTCAGTCTCACTTCATTCATTTCCAGACGGCAGACGTTGCAAATTCTGTCCTGCAGTAGTAATAGATAGCTGACCACGAGGCTGGTGGTTACGTGCAGATTATTCTAGGATTCAGCTCGTTCCTGATAGAGCCCATGTGCCGGAAGGTCGGGCCGAGGGTGGTGTGGGTGACGAGCAACTTCATGGTGTGCGTCGCCATGGCAGCCACCGCGCTGATCAGCTTCTGGTCGCTCAAGGACTACCACGGATACGTCCAGGACGCCATCACCGCGAGCACGAGCATCAAGGCCGTGTGCCTCGTCCTCTTCGCCTTCCTGGGCGTCCCTCTCGCCGTAAGCACCTCGCCTCGCCATCAGATGCATGCCACGCCACGCCACTGGACTGGGTGTCCTGATCGATCGATCTCTTTTGTGCAATGCAGATCCTGTACAGCGTCCCGTTCGCGGTGACGGCGCAGCTAGCGGCCACCAAGGGCGGCGGGCAGGGGCTGTGCACCGGCGTCCTCAACATCTCCATCGTTATCCCCCAGGTGATCATCGCGCTGGGCGCCGGCCCGTGGGACGCGCTGTTCGGGAAGGGCAACATCCCGGCGTTCGGCGTGGCGTCGGGGTTCGCCCTCATCGGCGGCGTCGTGGGCGTGTTCCTGCTGCCCAAGATCTCCAAGCGCCAGTTCAGGGCCGTCAGCGCGGGCGGCCACTGATCGAGCCCGGGCCGGCCGCCGGAGCACGGCACGGCGACACAACCCAACCCAACCGTGCAAGAGCTGTTGTATGTTGAAAGTTGAACAGAATAAGAAGCAGGCGATACGAGAAACCATTGTGTGCTTTTGTTGTGTGTGGTCGATAGGCGTGGTGAGGTGGAGGTGAAGGTGAGCATCCAGCACCAGCTGGTACCAAGGTCAGGTCTCTGTGCTAGTGCTATTAGCTAGTGTAAGGAGCGAGTAGGTCAGTCAAGGCTGGTGCGTTGTGAGTGCTCCTGTTTGTGTCACTGTCCTGCGTGTAGCTACAGCAGACCGATCATCAGGGGGAAAAACAAAAGGATTATTCGATCAATCAATGTGCAGTGTAGTACAACTAGACGATCGATGATGTTGATGATTGGTCTAGAGCTAGAGGCCTATACTACTCCTACTGTGTATTGTCCGCCGTTTGAGATTTCTGGTCCCAGCAATGCAACCGCCTTGTTTTGCTCCAATTGTCCCGTTCCAGCGCCTCGCTTTTGCTCTGTCGCATACAAAAACGCGCCGGCGCCGGCTTTGAATCGCCTCCCAACTGCTCCAACCTGGCAACACAGCCCACGGCCACCGTTCGTGTCGCGGGCAAAAACCAAAAGGAGGAACGCGTCCAGGGCGAAGCAGTCCACTGCCGCTGTGGCCGGCAAAAGATCTGGTTGGTTCGATATTGGACTATTTGGACTAGAAGGAGTAGATAGAGAACTTGGTTCCTCTGGAAACACCAATGGAGCACTGACATCTCTTAACATGCAATGCAATCCAAAAATCGGATCCAGACACAGACAGCACGATCGCCGCGCGCCGTCGATCACGCACGCAAGATTACTGAAGATCATCCACAAAACCCCGGGGGCTATAGCGTGCACCACACCCAATTGGTGCACTCAGGGGAGGGGGGAAAATTGTTCACGTCACGTCGCGTCGCGTATCCAGCTCCGCGGACGTCTCGGCTCAGCACTCAGCAGCAGCACACGGGGCACCTCACGATGCCGTTTTCGTTGCACTCCGTGCACCGCCGGAACCCGGCCCCGGCGCCGCCGCCGCATTCGTCGCCTTCCTCCTCCGGCTCGTCTTCGTCGTCCACGTACACCTTGCAGCTGCCCGAGCAGACCTCGCAGAGCACGAACCGCACGTCCCCGCAGGCCTCGCACGCGCCGGCCTCGCCGTGGGCGCCGGCCGCCGCGGCGCTCTCGCACCCGGCGAGCCTCGCCGCGAGCTCCCCGGCCTCGTGCAGCCGCTTCAGCTCCTCGGCGTTGCCCACGAGCTCCCCGTCCACGAACAGGCTGGGGAGGACGGCGGGCGCCCAGCACTTGGCGATCGCGCCACCGCCGAGGCCGAGGAGGCCGCGGAGCTCGTCCCGGAATCCGCGATGCATGGACACGTCGCGCTCGTCGAGGCGCACGCCGTAGCCCTTGAGGATGGCGCGCGCGAGGCAGCAGTCCTCGTACGTGGCGCGCACGCCGCGCAGCGACGTAAAGTAGAACACCGCCCTCCGCGGCTTTGCCGGCGCCGGCGCCTTCCCCTCCTCGCCGCCGTTCGTCAGGGCGGCGTCGGGGCGAGGCATCGGCAGCGGCGTCACCTTGGCGGACGCCGTGAGCTCCTGCGGCACCGTGGCGACCGGGAACGAGAAGGAGTGGCGCCCGAACGGCGCGGCCAGCAGCGGCGAGTGGTCCTCGAGGCCGGCCATGAGCGCCCACGCGTCGATGTCCTCCGGCTCGTTGGGCGGCGTCATGGTGGGCGTGCGCGGCGCCAGCCTCGTGGGCGCGCGCGCCGCCGCGGGCTCCGGCGCCCGCGGCATGGCCTTGTCCAGCTCCAGGGAGCCTAGCGTGGACGACGTGAGCCGCACCACGTGGACTCCGACGTCGCTGGAGCAACGAGCCGGGTACGACTGGCTGCGCGGCAGCGCCCCCAGCGGCGACGGGCAGTATCGGAGGTCGTGACGGGCCTGCCTTGAGGTGGTGCACCCCATGGCGCAAATGAACACGGCCAAAACGCCAAGTGGACAACGGCAGTGTCTGGCTGACTGGCTGGTAATCTGAAGGAGCTAGTTCAACTTCAGGGTGTCAATGTGATCAAGCAGCCAGAAGCAGACTGTTGAGGAGTTCTACTGACTTCTAAGCAGTGGATGGGTGAGCTGGAGACTGATCTTTGGGGATCGGGGTTTCTGGGGTTTAGGATCTTTATAGTACTCTGCCATTGGGGATATAAAACTAGCAGTGGGATTAGGACTTGATAAGTGCTGAGATTTACTATAAGGGCATGAAATGGTCTGTCCAATGCAGTGATTGGCCTAAAAAGAATAACAGTATTTGGAGGTGCTGGGCATTCTCTTTTCCTGAAGATAATTGGTTTTGGAACATTCAGACTTGGGAGTCTGGACTTTTGGAGGGAAGTTTCAAATGGTGATCTGCCATGTGTTTTTTTTCCCCCATCGAAGCGTCTGCTATGTGTTTTTTAGTTGGAGAATGGCCCTCATTTTGTTTGTTTATACTCTATATTCATAGCAGCTAGTGAATTTAACCTTGGTTTAGGGCCGTGCTAGTCAAACAATCATTGATTTTTCTCCCTTTCGCGCTGCTTTTCCTGTACGCATCTCCGCTGCCCTTGATTCGAGGACGCTGTTCACAGGGGACAGGGCTCTGGCTTTGGAGCCTCTCTTTTGTAGCACTTGCACGTAGTTACATATACGCGTGCAGCTGTGGGTGCAGGGAAAAATATAAGGAGAATTTGGACAAGTAGCTATGCTTCATTCCAAAATCTCGTTTCAAAATACTACTACCTCCATTTCAAAAACGGTAATGCTACCATTAAAACGTCCGGAAGGCCGAACGTCTTGCTCCACTCACTGCCTCTAGTGCTGCTCACCTAAAAAAACACACCTCGCCTAACAAAATCAACTCCCGCACGCCTCGCGTCCTCCCTCACCAGGAGCCTCCAACGCCCGCAGATCCCGCGACCCTCTCCCCCACCCCGGCCAGATCCATGGAGCAGGAGCAAGATCCATGGAGGTGGCACGGCGGTGTTCCAGGGTTGTGGGCGGCTCTCCTCCACCCCGGCGCGGCGCCGTCCTCACCCCCGGCGGCACTCTCTCTCACCCCGGCAACTGAGCTCCCCCACCCCGGTGGCCATGGCACTCCTCCCCCCCCATCCCTCATTGTCACCGTCGAGCCAAGCTCGATACTGGTGGCACTGGTGCTCGTGCGTCACCGCTCACCTCCGGCTCCAACCCCGACGACTGGAATCAACCAGTCTAGGCTTCCCCTCCCCATGTTGTAAATGTGTGCTTAAGGTGTTTCAGTCTTTTTCAAAGTTATGTTACAGTTGTTTTTTATGGATGTTGCAAAAGTAGATTTGAAGCGGACAGTTCGGATGCAAGCACGGAAAACGAAGCTCGCGCGGGTGGCACGCGAATCCGAGTGGATGGGGTGGAGCAGCCGCGGGCATCCGGACGTCGGGGCACTAGTGCTGCCGTTCCAAAAATATCAGCTTTAGTTTACAACAAAAATTTATAAAGTGTTTCAGGGAGTGGAAGAATAGGTTGTTCACATGCTCACAGCCCATCTGAGAATAATTGGGCCGTCGAAACACGAAGATTTATACCTAATAATAAATAGGCAAAATTTATGTCGTACTTTTTTTTCTACCTCTTCCTTTCTTATATTCCTTTTTCAGTCTATGTTCAATCCATATTCCAATCCACGTTCAATCCGTATTCTAGTCTGCTTCCCAATTTCTGCCATACTCTTTTTTTTGCCTGTTCCTTCTGTTTTTTCTTTCCGAGTCCACGCCACACTTCAGTTTGCGTCACTATTCTGTCTGTGTTTTTTCCCAGCACATCCGAGTCCCAACAGCAAAAATACCCATAACTGTAAAAAAAAGACACCAAAAATACAAGCCACATGAGGTTTAAATCCAAGTCTCCAACAAGTGATTGCATACCACCAAGCCAGATGCTTTACATGATATCTCTACCTATCTCTACATAATATTAAAGGGATAAAATTTATCTCCACCCATTTTCTTGGTCCTTCTTCCTCTAGCTAACTCCGTGAATGTAAAAATTGTGTTTGATCGTCTCTCTATGTCTATCCTATTTTATATAAACAGTTAGAAATCATAATCCAAATTGACCCCAGATTCCTAATCCAGTTCCAAAAGAGGAAAAATAAAAATATATTCCTAATAATACTAACCACGGCAAGTTTATTAGTTTCGGTTTTTTATTTTTTCAGTTTTTCCAAGAATGTTAGGACTTTTTCCTTTTTTTGCCGTAGAGACCAACGAGAGGACGGAACGAGAGCGCAAGTCCTCGTCGACCACAGTTTTTTTCTGATTCTTTTTTTTTTCCAGTTCCGTCAATTATATTTCTTTATTCATCACCGTTCACACGTTCAACTAAATACATAGAATCAGGCAGATAAATAATAATAAAATGATAAACAATTATGGGCTTTGAACTCCATACCTTTGATTGATGAGAAATAAATATTTCTACCAACATGTTATTAATCATCGTCTCATCATCATCGCACTATAAAAGAACGAGTTTTTTAGGGGCTCTCCCTCTATAATAACCATCTGATCTATACGTCGTGCTATATAAGCCCTCCGCCCACCGTCATACGTGATCTTACTCTTCCTCTGTAACAACCGTTCGATCTACACCTTGTGCTATATGAGCCTTCCGTCATCCATGATCTTATATGTAAGATGTAAGACGTCTCCTATTCAATCTCAAATGCGTCTCATAACTCACGTTTATTTTAGGTACACGAGTCAAGTACAACTTGAAAATTAAAGTTATGATATATTACAACTAAATATTTTTTATGCCTTACAATTGAAGAGAAACAATATCTATCAAGGTTATATTTTTAATTTGAAATAGATTTAATAGAACATTATCATATTATAGCCAATATCAACTTACATTATAGATGTTATGATCATCATAAAATAAATTTTAGCTTTTTAAATTTATGAAAAGTGTAAAAAATGAATAGATATGTAGTATTCTCATTCTCGTTATCCATTAATGTTTGATAGTTTTTTTTCTCCCGTTGCAACGCACGGGTATATTTACTGGTATTCATAAAGTTTGGTCTGAACAACTGTTTTTCTGTCTTTCGTTTTCAAGTTGGGAGCAAGTAGATGAATCATCGCCGGTTTCTGGATCTCATCTTGATTCTTGAGGTGCAACCCAACCATAGACTGTTTTCAGTAAACCATATGGATCACCTCGCCGCTTTAGTTTTCTACTAGTACAATCCGGCTGCAGCGGCAGCGAAAGAAGAACGGCAACAAGCAGCTTGGGGGATTGGGGATGCAACGGTTGCTGCCATTTCTCGGCACGGCTGAGTACGACCCCGACCTTGGGCGCTGCTTGCCTGGTCCGGCCTCTCCACTGACGGCCCCTAGTCAGTCAAGTGTTTGCGTTGCAATGTATTCTGAATTGGTTGCGTCAAAATGATTTATCGTTTGATTTCATATTTTATACTTACTGTGTATGTTTGTCAAAATTTAAACATGGCAACGGCAGAAAATTCAGTTAAGTTGGCTAGCGCTGCACAAGCACAACTAGCTAGGATCGATGGATGGACCTGAGGCCCAAATGAAATCAAATCAGGCCATGGGCCAGAGGCCCGAATGAAACGAAGATACTGAAACTTTTTTTTTTTTCGATCAATTCGGGGGAGCACGCTCCACCTACTTGTATTTCATTGAAGAAGATACTGAAACTCGATCCAAAACTTATCGTTGTGACGTAACCGATGCCCTACTGTGGTCGTAGGTTGCTGAAAACAATCTAATAGCTGTGTGCCAACGACGATCCATCATGTATTCATGTGAGAGTGATAGCGATAGCGATGCGCGAAGTAATTAACAACGTAATCCACTTGGCTCTTCGGAAATGTGTGCGTGTTGCCAGCTGCAGGGACGAACCGCTGCAAGAAACGACTTTGGTGTCAACGAAAGGAACTGCATGCGATGCGAGTCTGCTAGCTGCAACGACTCTCTGGCTCTGCAAGGTAGTACTAGGTCGCGTGGTTAGCAATCTAACACGACGGCAATGGGTGTTTTATTTATTAACGCTGGGACATTCCATTCCGCCCCAGCACTTGTGTGACCTACCCGGTAGGCGGTCGCAGCATGCTGCCTTTACGTCCTCCGTCGTTGATTCGCAGCTAGCGGGCACAGTCAGGCAGCAGTAGTTAGGAGTACTCCTTAACAACCGCGGCGCATGTCATGCTCATGCCATGGGGGAAATCAGAGATGGAACAAGGAATCGCCGTCGCCGTCGCCGTCGGCGGGCGGGAGCAAGTGGAGATATGGATGGCATAGAAAAATATATTATATATACAGGGGAGGCGAAGGCGAACATGCATGCAGGCGAGATGTGGGTGGCACGTGAGGGTTGGGTGCGGGGAGAAGGTTCCAAACGCCTTGCTCCCGCTGTACACACCCACTACCATGCAAAAAACACAAAACAAAGTGCTCGCTAGCTGCACGCACCACAAGTAGCTAGCGTGACCATGCCGTGTGTGTGTATATATTTTCCTCATTCCAGCCTAGCTAGGTATATTCATATAAATTTGGCTATGTATATATCATATATATTTATTTATATATAAATGATATATATATATTATATATATATATATATATATATATATATAGAAAATATATATATATGTATTTATAATCCATAATAGATATATATTCATATAAATTTGGCTTTGTATATATGTCGCTGGCGTGTAATGTATAGCAATACGGCTTCGTTCCTATTTAGCAGGGTTCCTATTTAGCAGGAAATATGTACAACACACAGATCCAAGAGTCGTCTCTAATCAGCTCTCTCTTCCGTTTTCGTATCTCTGCAATACCATGCCATTCGTTGGTTTGAATTTTTAGGTCTCATTCGTGAGGTTCATCCATCATCCATCCATGGAGTGATCCATCGACGGA